GGGGTTGGCAAAGTTATGAACTCAGTTTTGGTTATTTAGATAGTTAACTTAAAATTTGAACTCTCATGGTTATACACGTTTTTTATCCGCATCTAGAATTAATCCACCTTCATGTCTTCCCATTAAACAAATTTTTACTCTGACTTCCTCCTTTTGCCTCTATAGGTGTCAGCAATTTACCAAATTAGTTTTATTCTAGTTAAGTTTTACTTTTTGTTTTGACTCAGTTTTTTCCTTTTACTCCATATTATCTTTTTCTTTGGGTTACCTTTTGTCATTGTTCTTTTGTTCGAGTGCATTTTTGAGAGCCATAATTATTTTAGAGATAGTGTGATTGTGGCGAAACTCCTGAATCCTTGTATGTTAAAAATGTCTCCAATTTGCTCTCACAGTTGATTGTGCATTTCCCTTGGTATAGATTTCTAGGTACAAAATCATTTTTCTTTCAGAATTTGGAATGTATTACACAGGTGTCTTTAGCACCCAACATTGCTGATGAGAAGTCTGATGCTAATCTGCTTCTTCTCTGATCATAAGTAACAGAAACTGGCTCTGGCTAATTTGTGCAGAAAAATAATTTGTTGGCAGGCTATTGGGTAGCTCACAGAATTACCTAGAAGGCTGAAAATCAGGCTTGGAAAGCCAGCAGGAACCAAGGGGGCAACAACCAAGGATACTTTGTAGGAACAGTCTGGTTAGGTCATTGCCACCAGTCTTTGTGGGTATCACTCCAGATTCAGGTCCTGGGTGGAACAGCTAACACTCAAATTGCCAAACCTGAAAGCGGGGTTATTTGCCAGGCGCCCAATAACCACATGTGGTAGGCAGAAAAATGGTCCCAAAGATGTCCATGGCCTAACGCTTGGAACCTCTGAACGTTCCCTTAAATGGCAAAGGGACTACGCAGATGTGATTAAGTTAGTTTGATTAGCCTGGATTATCCAGGTGGGCCCAATTACATGATTCCTTAAAAGTAGAGAAGCTCTCCCACCTGTGATCAGAGGGAGCTGTGACTAATACAGAAGGGTCAGAGAGTTGCTGTCTCTGAGGATGGAGGAAGGGGGCCATGAGCTAAGATACGTGATGGCTGTTGGTAGCTGGAAAATGCAAAACACAAATTCTCCCCTAGTCTCCAGAAAGGAGTGCTGACACCTTGAGCTTAGCCCTGGACTTCTGATCTACAGAACGGTAAAGTAATAAATTTGTGCTGTTTTAAGCCACCGTTTGTGGAAAATCGTTATGGCAGCAATAGAAAACCAATACACCACACATTTGTAGTATTTCTTTGTCTTGATACTAAAGCCAGTAAGGCCTCACTCTGGCGGCAGCCTGTGAGCATTTTGTTCCTTGCAGAGCTACCTTGTCATCTAACACTTCCTCTTGGGTGCTCGCTTCCTATCCCCCTCTGTCCCTGTGAAAACACTCCTGATGGTTTCTTTCTGCTAGTTCAGGGGCAGGGGAAGGCTATTGGGCCCCATGTTCTGAATACAGTGCTTTTTAAAATATATATAAATTTGTTTTTGGCTGCATTGGGTCTTCATTACTGTGCACGGACTTTTCTCTAGTTGTGGCGAGCGGGGGCTACTCTTCGTGGTGGTGCGCTGGCTTCTCATTGCGGTGGCTTCTCTTGTTGCGGAGCATGGGCTCTAGGCGCTCGGGCTTCAGTAGTTGTGGCTTGTGGGCTCAGTAGTTGTGGTGCATGGGCTTAGCTGCTCCACGGCATGTGGGATCTTCCCGGACCAGGGATCGAACCCGTGTGCCCTACATTGGCAGGAGGATTCTTAACCACTGTGCCACCAGGGAAGCCCCTGAATACAGTTTTTCTGGGGTTTTTTTGCGGTACGCGGGCCTCTCACTGTTGTGGCCTCTCCCGCTGCGGAGCACAGGGTCCGGACGCGCAGGCTCAGCGGCCACGGCTCACGGGCCCAGCCGCTCCGCGGCACGCAGGATCCGCCCAGACCAGGGCACGAACCCACGTCCCCTGCATCGGCAGGCGGACTCTCAACCACTGCGCTACCAGGGAAGCCCTGTTCTTTAATAAATTATCCTGCTGGTTGATTCAGAGCCTTCTGTATTATTGTAAATGTCTCTGAGTATGGAAACTCTGGATTTGCTCTTTCCATTATTTTAATCATTTATTTGGTTTGTTTTCTGCAGCCAGTTTGGGGATGTGATTTTTCCTCACTCTTGTAAATGTTGATTAACTTTTATCTTTTAAGTATTTCAAAACTTTCTGATAATAGTGCCTTTTCCTGTTTATCAGTACCATGTGAATTTCTTTGGGGCTTCCCTGGTGGTGCAGTGGTTAAGAACCCACCTGCTAATGCAGGGGACATGGGTTCGAGCCCTAGTCAGGGAAGATCCCACATGCCATGGAGTGACTAAGCCTGTGCGCCACAACTACTGAAGCCCGCACGCCTAGAGGCTGTGCTCTGCAACAAGATAAGCCACGGCAATGAGAAGCCCGTGCACCACAACAAAGAGCAGCCCCCGCTCGCTGCAGCTTAGAGAAAGCCCGCGCGCAGCAACGAGGATCCAAAGCAGCCAAAAATAAATAAATTTAAAAAAATAAAAAAAAACAGTAAATAAATTAATCCTTTAAAAACAAACAAAAAAACATTTTGCACCTGTCATTGTAAGAAAATTTGGGTGGAAGGGGACATGATCTTATGAGCTCATTTCACCATCTTGATCCAATTGTTGCCTATTACTTAGGCTGATTATTCTGAACCCGGGGCTCAGACAGAATCTGAAGGACTAGAAAGTTCCCTGAAGAGTGGGCTGTGTGGTCTAGTCTCAGCAGCATGGAGGCCCAGGAGGAAGCCAATGGAACACAGGGGTTGGGAGGGCCCAGGTGGGGGTTGGGGAAGCCCTTTGACAGGAAAAGACAAAACAGACCTGAGTTCAAACCCTGATTTTGCCCCTTTCCAACTATGTAAGCTTAAGCAAATTTAGCCTCTGTAAACTTCAGTTTCTTCACTTTAAAATGGTGATAACACCAGCTATCAGACAAGGCTGCTGTAAGAATTAAATGAGACAATATTGGTAAAGTGCTTTTCATAGGCTTGGCATTTAATAATAATGGGTATTTACTGAGTGCTTTTACATGGAATAATCTTGTTTAATCCTGATTTTTAAACCTGTTACACAGATCAGGAAACTGAGGTGTAGAGAATTAAGTAACCTGCTTAAGGCTGTAATCAAAAAGTGGCAGAGGAGGGATTTGAACCTGGGCAGTCTGGCTGACATCTCTGCACACACACATCATGCTACAGGTTACCCCCATGGGTGAGGGCTATTGGGCTGAGTGCTCTCCTCTGGTGTTTAAAATTTCCTGTGTGGTTTTGGTGGAGGGAGCCAGATTAATTTTAGGAATTAGGAAGGGATTGAGTCAGCAAGAGAGGATTAAGTGGCCCCAGCAATAGGCAAGCTGGAGCTGGCAGGTCATTGTAGGTTACTGTTTAGTATCCAAGTTTGTTGGCTTATTTGCTTTTATTATGTACTTATTTTGTGGAGGTAACACATAATACGTAACAGTAACATGCACATATCTTAAAGGCACAGCTCAATGAATTTTCACACGTGTTTACACCTGTGTAATCACCATCCAGATCAAGCTATAGAATATTTCTAGCACCCTAGAAGGCCTCTAGCCCCCTAGAAGGCTCCCTTGTGCTCCCTCCCAGTCAATACCTGGCCAAAGGTTAGTAGTACTAACCTCTGTCATTATGGGTCACTTTAGTCTGTTTTGGACTTCATATAATCGAACATATGGTTTCTGTTCTCTCATATCTGGCTTCTTTCACTCAGTCTGTTTATTTTGATAAAGAACCAGATGCTTTGAATCTGTGAGCAGATGACTACATTCCATGAGCAGGTAGCTAAGCTCCGAGCGTTACCCCAAGGGCTCTGTACACAAGTACAGCCTTTTGTGCATCTCAGTAGCCAGCTGTGGGAGATGGGAAAGAGAAGGAAAACTTGCCCAGGCAGGGCTGCCATTGGCTCCACACCTGAAGGCTCTCAGGACGCCCTGGGCTCAAGGGTAAACGTTCTAGGTATGCTATGGCTATGAAGTGAATGTTAGTTCCTTTCCTCTTTCTGGGATTCCCCATGAGTCAGGTTTTGAGATGGGACAGCTGCCTGAGTTTGGTTGAGGGTGGCACGTTCTTTGCCCTTTTGCAGCTATAGTGGTGCATTGGAAAACTCTGAATTGTTCTACACACTAGGATGCAAGTAATGTCCACACCTCTCTCCAGCCTCTGGGAACCCATCTTCTCAGGGCAGGGGCATAGCTGTCTTCCCTGTGAAACATTGCCTTCCATCTCCTCCCTTTTTAGGGTAATTCCAGCTTCTGTTCTTGAAAAGACAATAATTCTCAAAGTCTGTAAATTTAAAAAAAGAGACTTCCCTGGTGGTGCAGTGATTAAGACCCTGTGCTCCCAATGCAGGGGGCCCGGGTTCCATCCCTGGTTGGGGAACTAGATCCCACATGCATGCTGCAACTAAGAGTTCGAATGCCACGACTAAGGAGCCCTCAAGCCGCAACTAAGACCTGGTGCAACCAAATAAATAAAAAAAAATAAAGTAAGTCTGGCTTTTTCCAGTTCTTAACCACAAAGAAGCTCTTAAAGCTCTTACAACTGAGCATAAAAGGGTCCTGTGCCTCAGAACAAAAAGCCAGGTTTCTTTCCAGAGAGGAAAGGAAGGGGGAAATCACCTTTCCCTCTACCAAGTAAGTCTCCAATAGAAGTAAGAACAAGGCACAAATGACTACATCAGTAATCTCTCCGGTCCCACAGCACTGGGTTCCAAATCTGCCCTCTGAGACTAACCATGGGGAAAACCTGGCAAAATCGCACTCTAATCATCTCAGCCCCAGTTTTTTCTGCTACAAAATGGTGGCGATACCAACCTTGCAAAGTTGTTGTCATTGGTAAATTAGCTATTTGTAAAGCTCCATACTTAGGGTCCTAATGAGTGTATTTTCTTTTTTTCTACAGGAGGAATCACCTGCTTGTATGGAAGTAGGAACAGCTGAACTGGGTGGCCTGGATTACAGGGCTCCAAGAACAGAGAAGCGATGCACTTTGCCAGGTAGTTGGGAAGCAGGCTGGAGCTCAGAAAGGCTTTTCTCCCTTTTCTTTATGGTTCCAAGCAGGTAAGTGATATGACTTAGGAGGTACTGCGAGGTGGCCCTGTACTCTCAACATAGTGCCCGAACCTGACTGATCATTAGAATTTCATGGAGAGTTTAAAAACATTCCGACCCAGCCACTTACTTTCTCCCACTCTGGCTGAGAATCTGATTCAGGAAAAAAAAAATCCCCAGGTGATTCTGCTGACTAGTAAGGTTTAGAGACCTGTTCTAAAATATATTCTTGCCTGAAAGTCCAATAGTTTATTTATTTTTTCAGCTTTGAGGAAGGTCTTTAATATCATTGCCCCACACAGTGAATTTGGGTAAAAGAGGAAACAGATGGAACTTTAACAGGCAAGTCTGGAGCCTGAAGCTTCATGGGAGCCCCTGGCACCAAATAGAAGTGTAACAGGTCACCTGCACCCTTTCATGGCATTAAGAACAGAAACGCAGTGCGTGGGTCTTGAGTTTTAGGAAAGTCCAATAGTTTAAAACATTTCCATATTATCTCAGTGGGGGGCATAAAAAATAGGACTGGGGGAGTCATGAGTCACCTTGACTACCCCGAAGGAAAAAACTTTTGTGGAACTGTCTAGATTACATGAACCTTATCACATACATTGTAAAGCCTACGTCTTGATTTCTGTGACAAAATTTTCATCAGGGTAGAAGAACAAAGCTTACCAGTACCTTGTTCAAGTAATTGGTACGACCCTCATTTCCAAACACTAACTAAACTGTACCTTTAATTGGGAATTTTTACTACATTAAAGTAAATTAGAATGATCAGGCATATTTTTCTCTTCCCTGTAGCCCCTCCTTAGCTTGTTATTGAAGGCATATTAATAACTACCTCTCTAGGATGCAGCCGCTGAGCATTCTGATGAGAGAGAATGTAAGGATGATAGGTCCTTAGGACTGTGAGCTGGTAGCTGAGAATGTCCATTAGAAGTAGTTAGAATCCTAACTGCTAGATTAGGTCAGCACACGGAGAGAACGGGAATTAGAATTCTGATGGAAGATGGCTTTGGGGGATCAAACAAATCTAAAATTCTAGTAGTGTTTTATTACATATTGTTGTGATTGAAACCTTAATTTCGGAATTTATAATTGAATTTGGGAGCATTGAAAATTTAAAGAGAGGGCAGAAATGAGAAAGGCTCAGGGAAGCCAGAGGACGTGGGCACAATACAAGCTCAGGTGGGAGATGAAGAGGGATGGAGTCAGAAAGTAAGAAGATTGTAGAAGGGAGAACAACACCAAAAATAACGATTATTTCCTTCAACCCTTTATGGTCCTTGCTGGGCAATTCCCATTCCAATTTTTCCCTACCTCTTGTTATTATTTCATCCTGGTAAAAGGGAGAACCAAACTAGTTTCTTGAGATAGTCTCAAGATCATTTAAGTAGAAGTCTAGGAGATGCTTAGATATAGCCAGGATAATACCTGCATGTATCAGATCACAGCTTTGCCGTGTATTGTTTAGATGCCTTATGCTCATGGAACTTTTGCAAACAATCTGGAGTTTGGAGGGTGTCTTCATCACTCATATTTTTGAGAATTTGAATCCTGTCTGTGCTGTTCAGTGTATGTGTGTGTTGCATTTGTTTTTTTGAATTTGAATTCCTATTGGAACAAAACTGGCTTATTGCTGTGAAGAGGTTTGATTTTTGGCTTTGCTGTACTTATAGAAAGCAAATGAAGTCTAAAAATTAAGTTTCTTGGTTCTAAGTGCACCAGATTTATACCTTCTCAAAATGAAGAGGCTTTATTGATAGTGAGTAAATGACTATACATCTTCATAGTATGTCATTCCTCCCACTTTAACTTCCACCTATGCTCCCACTGGGTAATTTATTTTTTTTTGGCTGCGTCGGGTCTTAGTTGTGGCACACAGGCTCCAGGGCACGTGGACTCTAGTTGAGGCTCTTGAGCTCAGTAGTTGTGGCGAACAGGCTTAGTTGCCCCATGGCATGTGGGATCTTAGTTCCCTGACCAGGGATGGAACCCGCGTCCCCTGCATTGCAAGGCGGATTCTTTATCACTGGACCACCAGGGAAGTCCCCCCACTGGGTTATTTTGAGGCATCTGAAGTAAATCTCAGATGTCATTTCGTTTCTGCTGTAAGCATTTCAGCATGTGTCTCTAAAAGATATGGACTCTTTTTAAAAACATAACTGCATATTTGGATTAAGTGACTAGCAAAATAAAGAGGTGTGCTTGCAAAACAAAATATAACCACAATACCTTTATAACTCCCCAAAATATTGATAAAATTTCCTTAGTATCAAATATCTAATCAGGTTTAAATTTCCTGCATCATTTTTGGATTTTGCTGATTATTTCACTGAGATGTTGCTTAACAAATTCCTCTGTTTCCTGTACATCCTATAAGCTGAGTGTTAGATCTGGAAGTTTAATCTGACTTGGCTTGGTTTTTTTGGCAAGAACACTTCATATGTGGCATTATATAATTCCGTAGGAAACATATGATGGTAACAGGCATTAATTATCATTGTCTAGAAGATTGTACATTTTTGACCGCCTTCAACTCAACCATCAAGCTATACACACCCTTAGACACACCTCACATATACCCTCTCCTTTTTACTGTTTTTTTTTTTTTCTCATCTCTAAAAACACCATTGTCTATTAACCATCACTGCAGATCCCTGCAGGTCAGGGTGTTCTGCCTGATACTCCACACTCGCTGTTAATTATGATAATTATGTATACTTTGCATCTGATGCTTACGTGTTGCCACTGGCATCTGTTATCCTGAAATCTTACTCTTCCCATTGACTCTAGGAAGATTAATTTTGTAAAAGCACCTATGATTATTTTTTGTTTGTTTTTTTATTTTATTGAAGTATAGTTTTTTAATTTATACATCTTTATTGGAGTATAATTGCTTCACAATGCTGTTATTTCTATTGTACAACAAAGTAAATCAGCCATGTGCATAGTTGATTTAAATGTTGTATTTTTTTCTCATTAGTTACCTATTTTATACATAGTATCAATAGTGTACTGTTTTAACTGATTAGAAAATCGTTACTTGATTGTAAACTCATCTCACAGACATAATCTCCTTGGAAAATAATCAGAAGTTTCCATTAACTTTCAATATATGTAAATAAACATTCTCTCAGTTCCCACCTATGGTGATATTGTTGGTTGTCTATTCAACTGCCGTCCCTCTCACCCTTTTCATGCGCTGACAGAGAGCCCACTTCCCATTAAAGAGGCTGACCACTTTCCAAAGTGCCTGGTTTCTGGGAAACTCTTTCTTTCCCTCTTTATGAGGATACTGTCATCTTTGGTTCTTTACATGAGGTGTGAGGTTGTTATTTGGTGCTGCAATGACCGTCCTCTGACCATAGGGAGCAGGCTAAAGGATTAACACCAATGTGCCCAGGATGATGGGATGGAAATGTGGGAAGAATCCAGATGCTCAGTAAGTCACTGAGCCCCTGAAATAGCCAACCTTGCAAATGCCATACCTCCAGACTTCTTATGTGAGATTATAAAAAAGGGGTATTTCACCCACTTTTCGTTGATCATTTGCAGCTATAAACAACACACCAGGTATATTCAGATACACTTCTTTTGTGTTTCTGCTTACTATTTAAAGCCCTGATGTAGGGAAAAAAGCCCTATAGACTTTGACCTTGAGTTTCCTATAAAATCAAAGTCTCTCTTAACCACTCTGATAGAGCTAAAATGGTGATACACATAGCATAAATCATTGAATCATCAAAATAAACTTGTTTTGATGTCATTTTAAAAAAATAAAATCAGTTTTTTGATAAGATACAAGTTGAAAAAGCATACAGTAACTTAGAAGTGGAGATAGAGGCCTAAATGTTCTATGTTGGTGATAGGAATTAGAGTTGAAATATTTTCCAAGGCTCATTCTCAAAGCACATAACTAAGAGTTGACTTTGAGTGTTGGCAACAAAGGGAGACTTTTCTCCTATTACATTATGCTGGACATAATACTTGTATTAAGTAGGAGAACTGGAATTTCTGAATCTCCTCCTTTGCAACAAAACAATTCCCAAGTTTCAAATTGAATGCACAAGATTAGCAGGCAGAGTGATGCGGATTTAATTTTTAAAAATAGTGTGATGTTTGAAATCTGTCTAAGAAGCAGCTATAGAACCAAAAACGTAAAGGATAGCTATGAGCTGTCTGTGCTTACTGCTGCTTCTGTTTTTTTTAAATTGAGATATAATTGACATATAACAGTATGCTCCTGCTTGTATTTTGCATTCCCAGACTGTTATTTGGAAGCAAAGCTTCATTGATTTTTGGTCAGTAGATTGCGCCTTTGTCCTTGCAGACAAGGTGATGACAGCAAGTAGTTCCATGAAACCCTTGGTAACAGACCTTCTTTGTGCTGTGTGAGGAAGCCCTGGCTCATAAGTGGATGACATCAGCAGGCTTCCACCCACTCCTTTGGATCCCTCAGTGTACAGAGACTCATCGGTAATGACTTTCACTCTGAACAGCTGCCGGTCTCACTGGCTTCATTCACTGTGAAGATGGTGATCATACATCCCAGATTTCAAATAATCTGTCCTGTTTTCAGACCATGTGTCAGGCTATCTGCCCTTGTGTCTGATTAGGAAAATATGATCACCTTAATTATGGCACAACCCCTTCCAACTTCTCTGCCTGCTTGGAGGTTTTCCCAACATGTCTCGTTGTTTGGGATACCTCTCAGGTGGTGTCCCTTCTCCTTCGCTAAATAAGCAAAATTACCCATGTGTTCAATGGAAATACCCTCCTTTAGGGATCCTGTCTAGAAGGGATTTCAACATAACCAGTACTTAGACACAGTAAGGCAGAGCCTACCTGCCTATGAAAAGCTACCTGATCAGAATTCTGAGTGAATTAAATGTCTATTAGCACAATAAAATTCAAAGCCTTTGAAAATGCATAAGGTGATACA